GCATAGCCATTATGCCAACTGCTGGTCCCAAATAAAATACTTCTTTAAAAAAAAAAAAAAAAGATACGCATACAGTTCACCTATTTGAAGTGTATAGTTCAGTTCACAGATATATATAAGCATCACTGTCAGTTTTAGAATATGCTATCACAACAGTTCATTCTTTTTTTAGAATTATTTAATTTAATTTTATTTATTCATTTATTTTGATTTGACTAGAGAGAGACACAGAGAGAGATAAAGTGAGAAAGCAAGCCATCAGGTCTGGAACTCAAACCACAGTTGGTCACGTGGGATGTCCAGCGCCTTAACAACCACACCATCTGCTGGTCCCACACAACAGTTAATTCCTTTTTTAACTTTCACTTAATTCTTAGAACTTTAATTTTTTACTATTTTAACCATTTTTAAGTGTAGAACTCTGTGATATTAAATATTCACAATGTTGTACATCTACCATCACTATCCATTTCTAAAACTTTCCCCTCATTTTAAACTAAAACTCTTACCTATTAAACAATAACCTGTTAAACACTCCTCCCTTCTCCCAGTTCCTGGCAACCACATTCTACTTTCTATCTCAATGAGTTCGAGATAGAAAGATACCTTGGATAAGTAAAATCATGTATTTGTCTTCTGTGTCTGATTTATTTCATGTAGCATAATGTCTTCAAGGTTCGTTCTTATTGTAGCCACCAGAATTTCCTTCCTTTTTAAGGCTGAATAATACTCCATTGCATATATGTATGTAAAAATGTATGTATTTTTTTTTCACAAGAGTTTTGCCAGAGAAAGACAGAAAGAGATAGAGAGGGAAAGTGAGAAAGCAAGCGACCAGGTCCGGAATTCGAACTGTGGTTGGCCACGTGGGAATTCCAGTACCTTAACCACCACACCACTGCTGGCCCCTCCATTGTATGTATATATCTGTATTAAATGACTGTGCCAATCACATAATCAGTAACTGGTGGGAGCCCAACTCCAAATCCCACATTTTCACAGTGTAAAGTGTCTTTAGATAGTGGCTCTTATACATAAATGTGCATAAGACTTCTCTAAGAATATCTCTTTGATCCAGCTAGTGGAGTGATGGTTAAGGCAGCAGGACCCCAAATGGATAACTATGTGGTTTGAGTCCCAGACCTGGCTACTTGAAAAAATACATCAGGCACATGTGTGTGCACTGCCAAAAATCCCAAGAGGAGAATGGAAGAGAAGGGATTGTGTCACGACAATACCCCATGAGGGATGCTTTCTCACTTTCCCTCTCTCTATGCCTTCCTTCTCTCTATGTCTGTCTGTGTCTCCGGTGAGGGTACATGTCCTATAGCAAGTTTAAACAAAAAAAGAATGTCTGTTAAAAACGTGGGTTTGGGGTCAACTGGTGGTGCAGTGGTTAAGATGCTGGGTCCCACATGGCCAACTCCGTAGTTTAAGTCTAGGACTTGGTGGACTAGTAAACACATGGGCCTAAAAATCCCAAGAAGAGAATGGAGAAGGGACTGTAGTGTGGCCATCCCACCTGCAGGAGTCATTTCTCACTTTCCTGTCTCTCTTCTCTCTTTGGTGAGTGCACTCATCCTATAGCAAAAAATCATTTTTAAAAAATGTGAATTTGGAGGCCCTACCACCAGCTATTCTGTTTTAGGGGTCAAACAGGCCCATGTGTTTGAATTTCTAGAAACTCACCCACCATGCTTTTGAAGCAGGTGATTGGCAACCACACTTGCAGAAATATGCAAGCCCTGGAGACAGTCACCATGTGAGGCACGACATGGTGGGGCATGCATGACCCTGAGGCTCTACGTTTAAGTTGTGCAGAACAAGTAATATAGTGACATTGATCTTCAAGGAATTGCCTGTATAGAAAAGATACTTTCTTATCTGGAAGCAGCTATTCAAAGGAACAGAAAGGGAGGAAGAAGAAAAAGAGAAAGATCTAAACAATCTATTCCATAGAAAATAAATAATCCTAGGGCCAGTAGGTGGTGTGGTGGTTAAGGCACTGAATCCCACATGGCTAGCTCTGCAGTTCAAGTCCAAACTCAGTGTGGCTTGGAAGTCATTTTGGATGTGTGCATGTGTGCCCCAAATCCCAAGAAGAGGATGGGGAGAAGGGGTTGTGGCATGGACCTGAACTGGATGTTGATTTCTCACTCCCCCCCCCTCTCTCTCTCCCCCCCAGGTGAGCACACACATCCTATGGCAAAAAAAAGAAAAAGAAAGAAAAAGAAAAAGAAAAAACTTCTGCCCTTAACTACCAGTCATAATCCTAACTAGCCTTAGGGCCAGCAGGAAGTATGGTGGTTAAGGTGTTGGACTTCCACATAGTTGACTGTGGTGCAAATCCTGGACCTGGCAGCTTGCTTTCTTACTTTCTCTCTGTCTCTAGTGAGCGTATGTGCCCCATAGCAAATTAATAATAATAATAATATCCTGGGACCAGCAGTTGGTGTAATGGCTATGTTGCTGGATTCCCATGTAGTCGACCATGGTTTGAGTCGCGGACCTGGTGGCTTAAATTCACGCCGAGCGTGTGTGTGTGGGTGCCCAAGATCCCGAGAGGAGAATGGAGGAGAAGGGATTGTGGCGTGGGCATCCCCCCTGGGGGATAATTTCTCGCTTTCTCTCTGGAGCGCAGGCGCTCTATAGAAGAAAGCTCTCTAATCATCATCATCATCATCATCATCATAATATCCTAACTATCTTGGACACCCTTTTGTGTATCTCTCAGCATTTAGCACATGGACATTTGATACCTGCAAAGGGGACTCAATCTCTGTATATTCTGGAAGTGGGGAGAGGGACTAGAGTTGGGCTCTTTGTTTTACAGACAGAGGTAGACAGGTGGTGAAATGCCTAACCCGGAGTGAGTCACAGGTGAAGCCAGGTGAAGCCAGGATCAGAATGTGAGATCACTACTTTCCCAGGCCTGCTTGTTGGGTCCTGCGACATGCAGCTTCCCTAGCTCAGGATGGTGAGCACAGGCTTTCCACAGGTCTGGCAGGCTCTGCAGAAGCCAGGAGTCATAGGATAAGCAAGCTTTCTCCACAAGAGACCAAGCATTCTTCTTGCCAGGAAAATGCCATTGTGATTTAAATTGGATGTTAGGACAAGTAGGTGAGCTGAAGAGGCAAAATACACATTGACATGAAAGAAAATGAAGAAAAAGGTGCCCCTTGCAAACACAGTATGCTTATTCTGCAACTAGAAGATGAAATGAAGGGTCAGCAGATGGTGTGGTGGTTAAAGGTGCTGGACTCCCACGTGGTTGAACACAGTTCAAGTCCCGGACCTGGCAGCTTGCTTTCTCTCTTT